TTCCGGTGTGAAAACGGTCTGAGAAAGTTGGGAGAAGAGAAGGCTGCTTGGAGACATCATAGCAGCATTCCAGTATCTGAAGGGGGCTGTCCTGGGTTCAGCTGTAGCAGTCATTTTTCTCCTTCTTAGTAGCTGGTGCAAGGCTGCGTTTTTGACTTTCAGACTGAGAACAGCGCTGATGACACTGATGTTTTTAGTTGTTGTTCAGTAATGTTTCCTCTGACCAAGAACTTTCTGAGTCCCATGCTCTGCCAGGGAGGAGGGGAAGCCGGGAGGAAGCAGAGACAGGACACCTGACCCAAACTGACCAAAGAGGTATTCCATACCACAGCACGTCATGCCCAGTATATAAACTGGGGGGAGTTACCCGGAAGGGCTAGATCACTGCTTGGGTTGGGCTGGGTATCAGTCAGCGGGTGGTGAGCAGTTGTGTTCTCTCCCCTTGTTATTTCCCTTATCATTATTATTATTGGTGGTAGCAGCAGTGGTTTGTGTTATACCTTAGTTACTAAACTGTTCTTATCTCAACCCATGGGAGTTACATTTCTTTCCATTTTCCTCCCCATCCCTCCGAGAGCAGGGGAAGGAAGAAGAGAGGGGGAGTGAGCGAGCGGCCGCATGGTTCTGAGTTACCGGCTGGGCTTAAACCATGACAGGGGCCTATAAGGATGCTGGAGGTGGACTCTTCATCAGCGACTACAGTGGTAGGACAAGGGGAAATGGGTTCAAACTTAAACAGGGAAAGCTCAGGTTAGATATAAGGAAGAAGTTCTTTACTGTGAGGGTGGTGAGACACTGGAACAGGTTGCCCAAAGAAGTGGTAAATGCTCCATCCCTGGCAGTGTTCACGGCCTTAGGCAACATGGTCTGGTGTGAAGCATCCCTGCCCGTGGCAGGGGGTTGGAACTAGGTGACTTTAAGGTCCTTTCAAACCCTAACTATTCTATGGTTCTGTAAACTCTGTAACTCTGAACCCAAAGGGTGTCTGCCTACAAATCCTAGGCCGTATGGGTGACCAGAGTCACAAGTCTGCATAGCTTGGTCATGCCTGCCTGTTTTTAGCAAGGGGCTTAATATACAGTGACTCCTATGTCAGGCAGTCACCTTGACCAGGAGCAGAAAAGACTGAAATGGAGCAAATTGGGCTGAAAATTTTACCTAGTAAAAACAGATAAGGATAGAGTTTTGGCCAGTGGGACAGCACACGCATCAAACTTCACATGCTTTCATGGCATCAGCAGATCATGTCCTGAGTTGGCATCCTTGTGAGACAACAGTCTAGGGGCTGCTTGCTATCCAGGCAGTCAAATTTCAGTAAAAGTTATTTAAAATCAGCAACTGGAACCATGATTCTGATCCCCATCTGGAAAGCCCGTGTTTGCAGATGAAGCTTCAGCCTTGTCCTGCTTGGGAATTGAACTGGAACCACTGATGGGCAGCGGGTAGTATGGTGCTTTTCATCAGCCACATTGCTTTACCAGGTCTAGCTTGTTTTAGCCATTCCTTATTTGAAAACAGCCTATTCAGGTTTTTCACCTTTTTTGTATTCTTACTGACGCCAGTGGGTGTATTAACCGGGTGATTTGCATCAAGCCTGCCTCCAAAGCGGCTGCCTTCCTGTACATGTACAATGCCAGTGCCTGGGGTCTTCCCACTGACCTTCGTGTAGGCTGCATCCCTCGGGGCGGCATTTGTAAGAGGGTGTGTTGCCTTTAAGCTGATTTGATTAACTGGAGGTCAGAGCAGCACAGATCATCTCCCAGCAGTGTCTGTCAGGACCCTGAAACTGTTAAATGTCTGTCTTCTGCAGCTGGTTTTTATCATGAATGTGTTTTCCATCTTTTCCCTGCTGACCTTACAGCCTCCTGAAGGCAAACAAGAGCAAGCACTGGCAGGGTTAGTTGTCCATGTTTAGCCCTGGGGGGCTGGTGAGTGCCAGCCTGCAAAAAGCCTTGCTTGGAGTGTCCTGGATAGCTTGTGGCTATCCTTGACCAGCTGGAGCTCACAAACCACCAGTAGAAGATTTCACCCCTACATTTTCCTAAATGGGAAACTTTTGTGCTGTGCGAGTGAGTGTGATACATTAAAGGAGCCTTTGTTTGTTAAACCAGAAAGCATCCCCTGGGCTGATGGGGCTTGCAGTTTCCTGGGAGTAACTGGGAGCAGAGAGCTCATCCCTCTGTGGCAGGAAGGGGCTTGCTCCATGGGACAGCAGCCGCCCGGAGCCTGGGAGCGGGTAGTGCTGGCAGGGCCCTGTGGAAGGATGTGCTGCTTCCGCTCTGCTGCTTCCTGCAGTGTCCGGCTGGGTCGGTCCCGCTGCTGGCAGCAGGGCATGAACAAGGCAGGGAAATAGCATCCCTGGGCACAGATGCCCGGCATAATCCCATTTGCTGGCTATGACCATGGTTAAGTGAACCATGCCCACTGTAACACCCTTTGCTATAGGCATCATCCTGGCTGTGAGTGCCAGTCTCCTATTGGAGGTAGCACTGAGGGGCAGAGGGATGGGCAGGGGGAAGCAGGCATGGATGTATACTGAGGCCAGAGGCAGCTCTGAGAGAGCACTCACTGCAGGGAAGAGGTACCCATATTCAGAGGAACAGATGCACTCTCCCATCTCCTACTGTGCTGCTTCAGTGCTTGCCCCCTGCCTGTCCTACTGCATAAGGAAGCTGTGCCCCATCCCATGCCTGCTCATGCCACTGCATGTTCCTTCCTGCGCTGGTTCCTCTCATTCTTGCCTCTTCCTCCCACTGCAGAGCGCCCTCCAGGCTCTCCCTGCAAACCGCTGTTCAGCCGGGGCGGTTTTGGCCCTGGCTGCGCAGGCACAGGCGCAGGGCTGGCCTCTCCAGGACCCGTGGGGCAGAGAGGGTGGGGAGCCGAGCAGGCACACTGAGGTGAAGCTGGGAACCGTGAGGATGCTGAGGGCACGGACAGACTGATCCCACTGCTGGAGCCTGAGAAATCACTGCCTTCTTTCTCCTTGTGCAAGAGAAACGTGCAGGCTTACCCGTTTAACCTGAGATCAGGAGATCCCTTTGCATCCTGCCTGTGATGCCAAGTCATACAAGGTCTTGCCTCCACTGTGCTGGCAGCAAAGCCTCATCTCCTCGCTGCCTCTGGGGATACACCAAGCACCTCTGCCTGTTTGGCTGGTCTCCTTCTTGCCATCTTCAGCCTTGAGGAAGCACACATTTTGTGGAGTAGCACAACTGAGCTAAAGCAGCTTCTTCTAGATCTGTAAGCAGTGAGTGACCTGTACACCTGGAACATTGTTTCTGCTTTTAGTGCAGTCACATCCTGGGGTACGCACAAGGTTGATTGGTACTGCCACTGTCTTTCAGAGCACTAAAAGTCACTTGTGTCTTTTGTCACAGGGCTGTGAGGGCACTGTTGACACACACACACACAGACATGTACATGTGTGTGTCCTCAGAGGTGCACTGGGCATCTCTTCAGCAAATGCAAAGAAGAGACAGGAGCTCTAAGACACGTGTGCCAGTGAGTGCGTGCACACACATATGTGTTCACACCCATGTAGAGTAGAGGCAGAGGGTACAGCAGCCAAATCTCTAAGGAGTGATCCTCAGCCTGGTGTTTATGGTGAAAACCTGCTTTATGTGCGGGGCCCTCAGCATCCCTGCCCACTGCAGAGGCTTCAGTGGGAACAGGGTTTGCCTGCAAAGCCCACTTTATTAGCTCCCCGTTACTGGGAGCAGGACATGACAGCAAGAGAGGTCCTTCTGCAGACCACTACCATGCTCACTGGGTTTTTGCAGCCGGCCTGTTCACCAGGGCTGGGGCTGCTGGAAACAGATACCGTGGAAAGGCCAGCTTGGATGTAAAGAGGGGGCATGCACAAAATGTCTGTGATCCAGTGCTGTAGAGCCACGTGGCAGAGCAGAGAAGCCCTGGCAAGCGATGAGCACGCGCATGCAGGCGCATGAGCCAAAGTCTTGCAGAATAGGTCTCATTGGCCGTATCAGTGCCTGGGGCTGTCGCTGCCCTTTCTCAGTGAGTTTGGCTTTGAACAGCTATCTCAGTGGCTGCTGTCTTCTCTGTGGTGCCAGGGGGTTCTCAGTTTTAGACACCAGTTTTGGCACAGATTATCTTGGCGGTTTCAAAACCTGCCACTGTTGAAACCGTATGCAGGAATTGCCAACCACCATGCAAATCTGGATATGCTTTTTATAGCAGTTCTAATGTGGGACTTCTAATAAATAACAGGCATGCCTACAGAACACGGAAAATAGGAGAGAAAGAAAAAACAAGAACAGGGGTTTTGTTCACTTTGCATGTGTCAAGCCTTGGTGTAAGTAGTTGCATTGGTAGGATAGCAGGGTTGTTTGAGGAGTGCTCTTCTCTCAATGCTGTGTGGGATGGGTGAGAGCCCAGAGGTAACACTCCTCAGTAGGCTGCTTTTGTGGCACACATGCCAGTGGTAGCACCGCTTTTGGTTTGCCAAGAAGATAGGATTGTAGTGATAGGACAAGGGGTAATGGGTTCAAACATAAACAAGGAAACTTCAAGTTGGATATAAGGAGGAAGTTCTTTACTGTTAGGGTGGTGAGGCATTGGAATGGGTTGCCCAAAGAAGTGGTAAATGCTCCACCCCTGGCAGTGTTCAAGGCCAGGTTGGACAGAGCCTTGGGTGACATGGTTTAGTGTGAGGTGTCCCTGCCCATGGCAGGGGGGTGGAGCTGGATGATCGTAAGGTCCCTTCCAACCCTACATATTCTATGATTCTATGACTCCGTTGGCGTCAGTGACTTGGTTGGGGTCTGATACCAATAGGCTACAGCACTTGCAGGTTTGCTCTGAATTCTGTTGTATGGCTGCTCCAAGCTTCAGCATCTCCGTGCACTGCTGGGATGTTGTGTGCATCCATTCCTCTGTGTTTAAAGAACAAAACAAACCAGGAAAACAAATGTGTAAAGGATGGGTGCTCAGAGAAGCAGATCATGTGTGCTAAGTTGCTTTGTGCTGTGCCTCTCTTCCAGTTGGTGCGCTACGTGTGGAGTTCTCCCAGCCTGTGAACCTGGACGAAGTGGCGAGACTAAACCCAGAGGTCAAAGCAGGAGGTCGTTTTGCTCCAAAGGACTGTATAGCACTTCAGAAAGTAGCAATAATCATACCATTCAGGAACCGAGAGGAGCACCTGAAGTACTGGCTCTATTACCTGCACCCAATTCTCCAAAGGCAGCAACTAGATTATGGAGTGTATGTTATTAACCAGGTAAGATGCTCAAGGCGTAGACAGGCCTTTATACCTCTATGATTAATAGTGTCTGTGCCCCATGAAACAGAGGAGTGGTTTCTTTGTCCTCAACAGCAGTGGTGTGGCAGGCAGGGGTAAGGTTGCTTTAGAAAATAAATAAGAAAAAAAGAAAAGTGAAAATTAACGTGAGCAATTTGAGCAATTCTGCATCAGTGATTCTGATGGAAAATCTGAGGTCCCTTCTTCTGGTCAGGCACAATAATTCACTCTAAAGAGCTTCTGCTTAAAGAGCCCACCTGGTGAGGAGGGAGAAAATCCCGGGTTGCACAACCCAGTCTAACAATCTGCTACATCTTTCCAAATGGTCCTTTTTCCCAGCTGCTGCAGGAGTTGTATACAGAGATTTTTAAGGTGACACAGTAGCATTAATGCATAATCTGGCAATGGGTGTGCCATAAAGCCGTAGGATTTCACTTTCTTGAGCAACTTCTATTCTTGTTAGTAATAGTACACAAAGTGTCAGGATGAAGAAAGAAAAGCTGTGGCAGTGGAGTCAGGTGAGTGATCTTCAGGTAAACAGAACAGAAAAGAAACAAGGGGATTTTTTGTTGGTTTGTTGCTATTTTTCCCTCAATATCTGATGGCCTTAGACCTGTCTAAGAAAGAAAAGGGCATGTTTCGTTCCAAATAAGCTGTCTTAATTTATACTGTAATGGTGGTTAAGTAATTGAGTGTTGTTCACCCCTAGAGAAGCCTAAAATGTGTAGGCATTTGCATGGGCTGCAGCGTGAAAGGGCAGGTGTAGTTCTGAGGGCCCCGGAGGAGATTGCCAGCTGAACAATCTCACAGCACAGTTTCTCTTTTGGATATGTATTTATATCCTGTTTTCTCAGCTCTGTGAAAACGGGTGTGAAATAACATGATTCTTTAAATGTAACTCCTTAAATGTGTGGACCAGCTGATGTGTTCATGCATATCAAACACCATGAATACTGAAAGTGGTCGCCCAAGCGATAAATTTCTTTACAGAATTGAAAGTAAGGGGAGACCTTTTTCTAGAGAGGAAACCAATACTCAGTTACTACTATTTCTCTTACTTTGCTCATTTCCTGGGTGCCAGAGATCTGGGCAGAAGTGATTTGGGGGGAATTAGTGATAGCTCCCAAGCACAGCAGCCAAATTGCTCTGGTGTCTGCAGCCAGCTGTGCTTGTGGCTGCGCTGCTGAGGACACAAGGTGTTTCTGCAGCACACTGTGCCCTAAAACTAAGTCCTATAAGGTGTCCCTTCCTGTGTAATGCAAAGAGCATCTGATGCTGCTGTGGACCAGCAACGCAGGGCCAGCCCCAGCCCTCCATCCTTCAGGCTGCCTTCCTTGCACAGCAACATTTGTCTGTGCAAGGTACTGGTGCCACAAGGCTGCTTGAGCCATGGTCCCCACCAGTCACTGGGTACAGGTGGGTGATGGTGGCAGGGCAGCGTGCCTCCCTTTCCTGAGTGTGGCTTGGAAGCAAGCTGTGTTGCCAGCAGTGGTCCTGCAGTGGCTTTGCGGAGGACCTCGGTCTGGGGCCAGTGGTTGTGGGTGAGCAGCCATCTCTACTGCAAAGAGCCAACAGGGCAGGCATTTCCCCATCAGTGATGTTCAAGGGTAAGGAAAGCAAGGGGCCCGGTCCCATGCGGCTATGCTGGTGCCTGTAAAGGCAGGCAGTGTCTGAAGCCCTGTTGGAGTTCCTGCTGCTGCTGCAATGCTGCGTGCTGGCTTGCATTGCCCTGCATTGCTGGCTCCTCCTCTTCCCTGGTCCTGTCCTCCAGCACTAGGGCTGTGGGGCTGTCTCTGTGCTCTAAAGTAACACTCACTAAAATTACTGAAGCAAATGCTGTTTTCAGACGCACCCCTTGAGCAAAGTTGGGAATGAGAGAGAGTGATATGCAGTACACAGGCTATATACACCCTGGACACATCAAGCAGTCAGATCTACGTTAGTAAGTGAGACTACTTGATCTGTAAATTAAACATGCTTCTTCTGCATGCCCCTAACAAGCTATGTCTGGAAGAGGCAGAGTGATCAGGTAGTAAACCCACTGGACGTGTCTCTCGAGGGTGAGTGGAGCACTGAATGTAGAGTTGCAGAAAATGTATTAATTCTGCCAGAAATACAGTAGGAAAATAGTTTTATTTCTCTGCTGTCTTGACAATTGCTTTTCTCTTTTTCTTGTCTGTCCTTCCCTTTGCATCTGCCCTCCTTTTTTTTTTTTTTATTTTATTTTTCCTTCTAGTGGGGAAATATTACCTTTACTTGTTAATCCTGTCTATATCAAAGCAATCACTGAAGCAAGGAGACTTACTGTGTGATCTGGTTCTTACACGCTGCCTACGTGCTCTTCTGTGCTCTGCATCTCATAGAAAGAAAGAGGAGCGCTGAGCCCTGCTACTGCTGCACTGGTAATGTCAAACTTCTTCCTTTCAGCGCAATGTGTTTCCGTCACGAGTCTGTCCTGTCTCCACCATGCTGTTCTTGCGTGCCTGAATGCCTCAGGGCAGGACTTGGCTGAAGTCAGGGGGATAATGTTTGTAAATGTAACAGGAGCCAGTGGAAAATATATATATTATGCTTCACCCTCCTCACTCGCCCCAAGCAAAAGCCAGGCCTGACACATGGAGTAGCAGTTATAGGATTTTCCAGAGACGTGGACATGTGGCTGTACATGCTTTCTGTAGCATCCACTTGCTGCCGAGCAACCTTGACTGCACTGAAAGAGAAGGTAGTGGTGACTGTGGTGCTGCAGATGGCTCTGCAGCCAGACTGAAGTTGGGGAGACTTAGCAAATTCCCTAAAAAACATGCAGGTCATCCATATTCCACTGCCTCCTGCAGTGTCCTCAGTAGTGATTTTCCAGAATGTGTGTGTACATGTGCCTGCAGAGTGGTTAGGCCATCACACTGATCCATGTTATTCTGCAGGAGGTATCAGGACCCCTCAGGTATGTGGGCAGAGGAGGGAAGTGTGCTCAGCTCCTTCTTACCCTCTCAGTGGTGAGGGAGATGAGTTTCCTCTGCAGCTCCTTTCTCCTAAGCATCTCCTCATGTCTCTGTAAGACCCTGGAAATCTGTTTCTACCTACTCCTCAAGACCACTGGAGCATGGTCTTTAACAGGGACGTTGTGGATCAGGTTGCTGTGCCAGATCCCTGACATAGCTAGCAGCTTCCTGTTGGAGGTGATGGCTCTCTTCTAGCTGGCCAGAAACATGTATCCTCACCAGTACCATCCTGAGATCTGGAGAGCGTAGGATTCAAGTGAGAGAGATGCAGCTACGGGTCCTGTGCAGTCTGCAGGAGGACTCTCAGAGCTGCCTTCTATATGGAAATGGGTGGGAAGACAAAATTAGGATGGATGGCTTCTTGCTGATTTTCAGGTGCTTTAGCTTGAATGACAGTTCCAAAACTTCAGTTTTATCTGGTGCTAAAAGAAGGTAGCATCCTTTGGAAGGTCTGGCTGAGCAAACCAGAGTCAGCAAAGGTAAGGGATGGGAAGTAAAAAAGCCTCCATGTTCTTTTGCTCGGGCTGATTGTCTCTGGGTGTGAGAATGACTTAGTGTCAGATCCTGTAGGACTGAGGCAAGAGGTTGTCCCCCTTCAGCCGGTCTCTTGTGGACCACAGAATGGGGATGGACTTGGATGTATTGGCTGAGACAGGGAGAGTGAAATCAGGAGCCACAAACTGGTGCTGGGTATCAACGCTGAACTCGGACATGGGCTGAGTCTCAGGACAAGATAACATGGGGAAAAAATTATCAAGGGAGAAAACCAGCAAAAGTGTTCTTGGGCTATATCTCTTCTGATTGAAAACCTAGGAAGTAAGCATGGATGTTATGTTTAGAGCTTGGCTGCACTGTCAAAGCAGCAGTCAGTCCCTTGTGCACTGTCTGGCTCTTCATATGGTGCTCCTCTGTCTAAGCAAGTCCAAACTAATCAATTTCCTTGTGACAAGTAACAGGGAGCCTCTGTGGGATTACTTGCTGCCAAGCAGAGGCAAGGACTGGAGGTTGCTTCAACTCTGCTTCATCTGTTCGCTGAAGGAGTGGTACTGTGCTTTGTGCTTTCCTGGCAGGGGCAGCAGCACAGAAAGGAGATTTCCCAGCTCTGCTTTCTTTCGAAAAGCTGTGAATCAGTCAGAGATGGAAGGCTACAGCATGTGTCTGAGTTTTGGAAGATGTGAATCTCAGGTACTGCAAGCACGCCAGTGCTTCCACACTGCCTTAGGTAAAGAAACAGAGCTTTCTCCAAAAGAGCAAAACCTCTTGTCAGTCTTCTTTCACTCCGATGCATGCTGTAGAGCCCTGCATACCTCGACAGAAAACATGCCTCTTGCCATCAGAGGAGTCACCACTAATGCTAGCATTGCAAGGCTTGCTGCATGAGCTACCTGCTCACTGTAAAGTTACTAAAAAATGGCTTGGAAAGGAGTTTTCTTATTTGGTTGTGATTTTTTTTTCTGCCCCCCCCCCAGCCTTTTGGATCCCACAGTGTGAACCTGTGTGTCCATTTGGGACAGTGCCCACATGAAGTGTTTGCTGTGTGTTTAGTCCATCTCCACGCAGGGGGTCCTGGTGTGGGCTCTGATGGGTGAGGGGACAGGAAGGGTCTGAGGTACCTGTGGTCTGGTCACTGCACTGTCCTTTGGGTTTTTTCAGGGAGAGGTTTAAAATCAAAGCTCCTCATAGCACTGTTAATCCCCAGGTGTCACCTAGAGGAGTTAGAGGCCACCTGAAGGCACGGTTTAATTGTGGCTGAGCCTCTGCCTGTAATAATATTGGCGTGAAGCACCCTTTGCCTTGAAATTTCATTATGAAATGAGCAGCCAAATGGTATGAAATGAAGACAGTCATGTAGACTGGACCCCAGCAGGTGCTTTGGGGTGTGAGCACACTGCATTGTGCACCAGCACCAGGAAAAGCCCCCCTTTTGAGTACGGAGCCAGGGCTGGGTTTGATGCCATGGGACCTGAGGAGCACAGGGCAGATGGGGCTGGGCAGCCCCCTTTGCTGGGGGAAGAAAACCCTCCGATCCCACAGCCTCAGCTGCTCCCTCTCACCAGCCTCTTTGCTCATCTCACCCTCATTTACTGCACTCAGGTTTTCACTGCTCTTACTTACACATGATGGGTGAACATCTTCCCACCACCTTAGTAATTGTGTGAACCCTTTTGGGTTTTCGGGTGAGGAGGCTGAGAATTTGCTTAGATCCTCCTCCACGAAAGCTCACTCCTCCCTGTGAAATCAATTTATGCCTGAGGCAGGTGATGAATGCTTTGAAAACCTAGGTTTGACGCTTGAATGTTAAAACCTTCATTTGAAAGGTATTTGTGGCTGTTTCAAGAACCTACCTTGGCTCTCTCGCCGCAGGTCCCTTAACCAGTCTGGATTAAACAGTTTCCAAATTGATTATTTATTAACCAGGCAAAGGCAGCCGGGATGAGGTGATGTTTTAAGCTGCTGCTCCTTGGGCACAGTATTTTGCCTGCCTTGATTTGTGTTCCATGCTGGTGTGGGTACCACAGGTTGTGGGGATGACTTGCCCAGTTGGAGGAGTGGGGGGTCCTTTGGCTCAGCACTGCTCAGAGGATGTGGGGGAGGAAAGGTGAGATATGGTAGAAGAGAAAGGACTTGGCAGTCTTGGTTTCCAGGCTGGCAAAAAACTTGAGCCTCTTTCAGTGATGTCCTGCCTTCTGCCTGCTTTGATGCTCTGAACAGGGTTTGGGTTTGAAGCTGCTGCTGCAAAGTTGAATCGTGGGTTGGAAACCCTTACTCTCAAACCACTGGTATTCTTGGGTTTGTGGGTATGATGTTTTCTCAAGAGTACTCGAGCAGTTTGCAAGCCTGTACTTGTGTTCAAAGCCGTGTGCGCTTTTGAAATGTGTCTGCCTGAGAGAGGCCAGGCTGATTCTCCTCAGGCACCTTGTGGCTTAGGGGAGAGAGCAGATACTTTCCTGCCCTGCTCCACAGGTCCCTTTGTAAACTGCGCCTGTTCTGGGGCATAAACGTGCACTGCTGCAGTGTCATCTCTGTTCAGTCCTTCCCGTCGTGGTGACTGCCCTCCTGGTTCCATTTTCCCTACGAGGCCCCTGGGACAGGGGGTGGGTTGTGCTGTACTTGGGCTGGCAGAGCAGCAGCAGAGCCGGGGCTGCGCACCGCAGCAGATGATGGTGGCTGGTGTGTAAGCCGTAGCCCTTGTGAGAAGCAGGTCACACCGTCCTGCCATCCAGTAAACACGGCTGTGTGTCACAGCACTGCCCTTTCCAGGGCCCATGCAGCGTTCTGCTCCCATGTGTACACAGCTGCACAGGGCTCATCACAGGAGCAGGAGCTCCTGGTGCCACGCAGTGCTTTGCAGATCAGGTCAGGCATGTGCTGCTCAGCCGAGGCCATGCCAGTCCTGCAGCCCTGTTGTGGCAGAGCTGAGGAGGAGGGTGCTGAAATCCTGGGCACAGAAGGGTTTTTGGTCCATGGTCCTTACCCTATCAGTAAGCTATAGCACTGCCGAGGTTTCTCTCTGCAGCAAGGGTTCCATCTTCCAGAGGGGCTCATTCCTCTTTGATTTTCTCAGCTGCTATGGGAAGTCCCAGCCGCTTGCCCTAGTGGTCCATAAATCACTGAACTTTAATCCAATTATCACAAAACTCACTCTTGAAATGCCTGTGTGTGTGGTGGGATGGGGGGACTGCTCAGCATCAAACCTGCCCTCTTGGAGCCTTTCACCAAGAAACAGGAGCTGAGCCAGGTCCAGCCTTTCCTCGGCTGTTGCGGCTGCCCCTGCAGTTTGCAGCTGGCTCGGATGCTGTTGTCTCATGGGCAACATTCCAGGGGGCTCCCTGTGGATGGCCTGTGGGATGCTGTGGGGGAGATGCTCAGGCTCGAGCTCAGTCCATCACAAGCACACCAACTCCGTGCAGCGACACCGGTGTCCAGCAACAGGTAAGAAACTGCTGATGTTAACTGTTAAATTTAAGTCACTTAACTGCTTTTTTCTTGTTTCTGTTTTAATTTAGGATGGAGAGGAAGAGTTTAACCGTGCTAAACTGCTGAATATAGGATTTGCAGAGGCTCTGAAAGAGTATGACTATGATTGCTTTGTGTTTAGTGATGTAGACCTCATCCCAATGGATGACAGGAACACCTACAAATGTTACAGCCAGCCACGGCACCTCTCTGTATCCATGGATAAATTCGGATTCCGGTGAGATGCCTTTTGGAAGGGTTTTTCATTCTTCATGTTGCTGTTAGGCTAGCGAGCCAGGCACAGCGTTACATGTCCCCACCCTCTGTGAAAGCATGGGAAAATGTCTCTTGCAAAAGCCTGTCTTGGCTTGGTGTTCCTGTAGGGAGCGGGTGGCTGTGAGCAGGATGGGATCGGGTTGGATCAGCTGGAGGGGAGGAAAGGGGGAAATGCAGCTGAGTGGTTTATTAACATTCACAGCTTCTGGAAAGTGAAATGCAGAGCAAGGGAAAACTAGGAGCCCATAGTTCTGCAAATGGCCTGCCTATCCCTTCTTGTGTTTCAGGCTGGAAGACAGCTAGTGTTTCCACCCAGTCTGAAAAGTGAGACACTCAGGCAGAGAGAATTATGCGCAGCTTTAAAAAGACTGCATCAGATGCTATTTTAAGAGCAAAATGAAGTATTTTTTGCTGTTCAATATTGGGCCACTGAGGGAACTGCCCTAAAGTCTGAGAGCAGCACGAACAAAATGCCTTTCAGCATACATTTGTACTCGGCAAGCTGCAGTAGACAAAAATGTGTGTTTTCCTTTCTGTGTTTTCCTTTTCCTACCCCAAATCCCCCGTGCGGAGTTCAGAAGCTCATCTGTAAAGTGAAAACCAGTCGTGGCCCCTGGTGTCCGGTAGTGCTAAAGATGGTGTTGGTGGCAAGACCCCTGCACATCCCCACTCCAGACCCTGCTAGCTCTGCTCAGAGCAGGACAGTCACCAGCACCACAGCAGCTGCAGTTTCTTTTTGCAGCTAGGTGAAGCTTAGAGCAGAAATGCAGGGCCTGGGAGTTTCTTCTGCTTGTTGAAGCAGAGGCAAGGTCTGCAGTAGGTCCTGGTGATCCCTGTGTGGGCCCTCTCCTCGTGCTGTGGGTCTGAGTTTCGTAAGTCCCCAGTCCCTTGGTGAATTGTCCCCTGTTTTGAGCAGCAGCTAGTTGGCTTTGAGTGTGCAAGGTCACACTGCTGGCTTACTTCGGGGCACTGTGGTGCCCCAGGAGCTGCAGGAACAGAAGGTTCTGCAGCACCTCCAGCGCCTTGCTGCTCCTGGGGCATGCCTGTCATCCATCTGCCCTTTGCTGAGGCGATGTGCTTCTCACCAGCCTGTCCTTTGAGGACAGCATACTTGTAAGTGAAAGGCTGTGGCCATTGCTGGTTGCCAGCTGTATCTGGGACCGAGCCCACCAGCTCATTCTGCCTTGTGGTGGGTGCTGGCTGATTGCAGGCTGGGGTGAAGGAAGGGGTGTGGCAAGCCCTGTTTGGGTGGGCAGGCTGCTTCTCAGCTAGTGCCTCTTCTCCTCTAATGTCATTTTCTCTCTGCTTTCAGGCTGCCTTACAATCAGTATTTCGGAGGTGTGTCTGCTTTGAGCAAGGAGCAGTTCACAAAGATCAATGGGTTCCCAAACAACTACTGGGGCTGGGGTGGCGAAGATGATGACATCTATAACAGGTAAATAAATACCCTCCTTGGCACCTGGAGTGCTTCCAGTGTGGGGATGAGCACACACCTGCTGATCTCACCCAGATGAGGGGGTGCAGGATGTCTTTTCACCCCAATCAGGGGAGCCTCCCCTCTGGGTGAGGGAAAGAGGTGGCTCAGTGAAAGCAGGCTCTTCCTGCTGCGTGCTGGCACCCCATTTTGCAGCTCCCAAGGTGGGTCCAGGTGACAGATATCCCACCCCTGACCCACACACACATCACGCTTTCACCACACAGCTTTGGAAGCATCCGTACCAATGCACAGGTTGGAGCAGCATGCTTATGGGTCTCCCAGCACTGGCTGAAGAAAGGGGATTCAGGGCATGATGAAAGGAGAAGTCTTTCACCCAGTGCAGCCCAAGGCTTGCCTGTGTCTGCAGCCTGGTGGCGGATCCTTTTGTTCCCAGGAGAGCTTTGTTTGTTGGGCTGTAAGCAGTTCTAAAGAACACCATGAGCTGTCACTTCCTGCCCGGAAGGAAACCAAGCAAGGCTCAGAACTGCAAGAGAGGTGGAAGGTGTTTGCATGGGGCAGGCTGAGACCACCCCTGCCTGAAGACCAGGGCAGAAGGTGGACATGGGGTTGTGCTACCTTATGGATGTGAGTCCCTAGGGCAGTCACTGGGAGTGAGAAGTCATTGAGGGAGCAGATTTGGGAAGCCATCTTCATGTTTCTCAATGAAAAAAAACACTTTGCATGGTCTTTTCTCAGGGCTTTCCAAGTTTTTCTGGAGTTCCAGAAGGGTCTTCCTAAAAATGCTTTTACCTTCCTGAGGTTCAGCACTTCTGTTTGATAAACCAAGTGAGAGACAACCTTCCAGTGGTGCAGGGCATTCAGAGCAGGGTGGTGGTCCTCTCTTTTTGGGACACTATTTTTGAGCAGCAGAGGATGCTATGTAGAAATGAAAATGCAGACACAGATGAAGGATCACAGAATGGTTTGGTTTGGAAGGGACCTTGAAGCTCATCTCCAGTTCCAACCCCCTGCCACAGGCAGGGACACCTTCCACTACACCAAATTGTTCCAAGCCCCATCCAGCCTGGCCTTGAACGCTGCCAGGGATGGGGCAGCCACATCCTGTGCCTGTGCCTCACCTCCCTCATGGTGAAGAAACCAGGTCCTTCTCTAGCATTGGTGTGCATGAACTGCAGGTGCCTTGCGAACAAAGGCAGCTGTCACTGCAGTTTTAACATCCCAAATGAATGCTCTTCTGGCTCTTTTCCAGATAGGTTAAAAACTATGTGCCTCCCATTGGCATTCCAGCCTTCAGCCTGGAACAAGATTAACGTGGCCAAAGGCCACAGTTGGTGTAGGTCAGCATGCAGTGAATTAGGTGTTTGCAGGGAGACATCTCTTTTCCTCATGATGATGTGCCAGTGTGGAAAGGGTCTGTCTTTTCCTTGTCTTTCAGCATTGGCAATCCTGCAAAAGGACTAGCAACATCCTTAGAAAAAAAGGGCAAATCCCAGTGGTGGTTTATGGAAAAAGTGGGAGAGCATCAGACATCTGTTGCCTGTCACAGGTGGTTAATACACTTGCTTTTTACAGGCTGGTGTTTAAAGGCATGGGGATATCGCGTCCAGATGCCGTCACTGGGAAGTGCAGAATGATTCGGCATTCCCGGGACCGGAAGAACGAGCCCAACCCTGAGAGGTGCGTGTCCCCGTCCCATAGCCAGTTCAAGAGGTGCCTCCCACCCTTGTTGCTTCAGCTACTTGGCTTCCTCTTTGCCAGGCAAAAAGCCTCATCACGGAAAGCCTGCGGCCATCCGCTCCCTTGCTCACCTTTCTGTGAGCTGCCCCCTTGCTCTCCTCACTTTATTACATTACTAGAGACCTTTTACCCAATATTTCTTCTTTTTTTTTTTTTTTTTTCCTTAAATGCAGCAAGTTACTCTCCAAGTAATTGTTTCCAGCTTGTCTTTGGCATATAAAACTTGAGCTCCATTGCAGAGCTGGAAAAGGACCCCTGTGATTTAAAAGCTTGTCTGCTTTTTCCCGGCTAAAATTTTACCCCCTAGAGATGCCTTTGCCCACTGCTCAGGCTGCCCAAATCTGGGAGTTTATGGGACCCGTACTAATAATACTCAGGTTGTACTTAAAACACAAGAGATGCTGCCTGAGAGGCTATAGAAATGTTGTGCAGAATTCAGGTAGTTGAAATGGGTTTTGTGTTTTTCTTTCTTTGTTTCTCTCACCCCTTCCTTGTTTGCGTTTTCCCCACCACCTTCTGCAGGTTTGACCGGATTGCTCACACAAGGGAGACAATGAGCTCTGACGGCTTAAACACACTATCCTACAAGGTCTTAAGAACTGACAAGTACCCTCTGTATACAAGGATCACAGTGGATATTGGCTCACCAAATAGCTAACATCACAGACAGGAGAGAGACCTTGCCTGTGTGGAACAGGACTGATGCTTTATATCTGCTGGTTTTCTAACAGTTGCAATGAACAGCAACAACAACAAAAGGCCTCTTTTGGCATGCCAAAGTGTCTCCCTTATTGGTTGGACAAGTGCTTTTATTGGTTTTTTTTTAATTCCAAACTTGACTTTACACAACTTTCTAGCTCTCCGTTGTTTTGTAAGTCCAGGAGCTGTACATAGTAGTTGTAAATACTTATTTTGCCAGAAAACATTGAATCTGATCTGTTTGCTGCAGTGCTCCCCATGTTGAGCTAATTACTGGACCCAAATTGTACTGATTACAACTGTGATGCATCAGCAATTACTGCCCATGACATTTGGTATTTTAAATGAGGTTGTTGAAAACATTCCTTTTAATTCAATCCTGGTTTTATTTTATGAAGGACTGTAAAATGCTGCTAAAATTGTTCAAGTTTATGCTTTGCATTAGATTTGGTTCGGGGTATTTTTTGTTTTTTAACGGGGACACCACCATATTTTTTTCCCTTATAGTGACCAAAACAAATATCTCTGAGTGCAGAGCAAGTGTTGAACAACCTGAATTCACTGAATGTCATTTCTTTTAGCCTCGAAGGAGGCTTTGAATGACTTGAACCAGAGTTTGCCAGTGATCTCTCTGCATAGAGTAGGAGCTACACCAATGGCATCTGCAAAAACCACTGGCTTCAGACAACCTTGCTTCTGGATGTCACACTGAGTTTGTGCCTCACCACAACATCACCTGAGGTCCTTTTGGGAGGGGTGGGGGAGGGTGGTTGGATTTTCCCCCCCTGGGAATAAAGGGTTAATTGGATTGTGCAAAGAAATTCTGGCCTTAAAATCTGCTGACACCTGTTAACAGCGGTAAATGGTTACCATTTAAACATTGTCTAAAATGAGTTTTCTTTTCTTGCAAGGTCATGCATAAAACTTGAATTCACTTATTACTCTTGTTATTGTAACATTTTAATAACTTTTAAATGTTTTTAAAGTAATTTGTATATCATAAGCAATATATTTAATACCAGATTAAACTAGGGTGCAGCATAATAGGATATGATTCAAGGCCTCTTTTATCTTCAGATGAGTAGGTTCTTTATGTGCGTCATTATTATAAGACATGTATTATATTTGCTCTGTGTATGTGTCCATAAAACCTCCTGCGGTGCTGAGATACTTGCAGCAGGGCTGACATCCAATTGGTCTTTCTTTGCCTTAAGCCTGTTGCAATGTGTCCTCTACCAGGAAACTCCCTTCTGACTTTCTCAGGGCCTGAGGCTCACGCACGTTCGGAGTACTGTTTTTTGTCAGACACCCTGCTTTTCCTTCCCGTGACCGTGTGAAAGCCTCAAGCGCTGACACCCAGGGAGCCGGTTTCAGTGATTTAAAGCTCTCAGCCAGAACCGAGAACTGAATTCCTTCTGGCGAGTATGCTGCCAGCAGCTCTGACCACAGCAATTTGCACTTCCTTGGCCCGTGCTGAAGGCTGTTAAAATCAGGGACACTCGTTGTTGCATTGGGGATCGTCTTCAGCACTGCCTTTCTTTTTGCCTCTTTTTTTTCTTTTTTTGTGGCTTGGATTGGATTTTTGTTGAGACCCAAAGGTTTTGCTGAGCCCTGCGCTGCAGGGGTGGGATCCTGCAGGGGACAGGGGACACTGCGTTTCTCATTAGGCTCATTGTGCGCATGGAGACTTCAATTACTAGGGAGACACCCACTGCCTTTTCAGTCTTGCTTTGGAAAGCTGTTCACCCCTTTTGCTTAGAAGCTGTTGCTGTCCAGACGTGCTGCTTCAGTCATGCTGGGAGCTGAGCAAAGGTGGGCTTGTGTGGAGCAGGAGCAAAGCACAGGGAAAGCATACACCGTGCAGAGCTGCTCACTGGTGTTTATCATTGCATTAAAAACCTGACTGTGCTTTGGCAGGTCAGTCTCCAGCTCTTGCAGGTACAGGAGGGAGTATAGGAAGAGGATGCGTGGCAGAAGTCAGGTCAAAAGTCTACCTGTAAAACAGCGGTATGGATGTAGTCTGAACCAGTAATGGAGACACGGATGGGGACTTCGGGTCTGATTGGTTCGAAGGTGCCTTAGAAGCAGGGCCCTGCTCCCACAGGCAGCACATCAGCACCAAAACTCACCGAGGCTGGCTGAAAATGGCAGGTCTTGGCAGAGAGCACCTCGGGTTTGCGCTGAGCCCTTTGCAAGTTGAGCAGTTGGGACCTTTGGCTGTAGTGGTGTCTGTATGTAACAGGCTATGCAAAGGGGCTGCCTGCTGTAACTGAGTGGTTGACTTTGTTGGTTTTGGGTTTTTTTTCCTTGCCTTGGGATTCTCTGAAGATTAGGAAAGAGTTAGTATAACAACTCGTTCCGCTGTTTGCTGAAATCATTGGATACTGTGGTGGTGGTCTGAGCACTTGTTTCTGGCTGTTGCAATCAAAGGTTTCTACACATGTGCCTTGAAAGAGGGGAGAAAAGGAAACTGGAAAACCAGGAAACGTGAAAACCATTTTCAGCAGAGAGGCACTAGCGAGTGAAGAAACTGTTGCTTAGTTTCTCTTCTGCTGCTCAAGCTGCAAACCATGTAAAAACAGAAGCTGCCTTTCGTTACTCATTTCACCTTTTGGTGCTGACCCGTGATTTCCAGATACCCCCATGTAAACTATATCAAACTCATGAAATGTCCTTGACTCAATCTGCCCATGAAATTTCTTTCACTGGGATTTTCAGGGGCCTTTCCTACAAACCCTCATGTTGACACAAGTGAATTCTGGCCATAGCCTGTGGTGAGTGGTGGTTTTTCCTCTCTCATACTGGTAACAGCACTCAAAGTGATACCGTGTGTAACGGCTGAAACCCAGAGCAAATAGCTGCAAAGGAAATGGTAATGCTCGGTTTCTTTGGGATGACTGTTGGGATGAAGGAGGGTCCTGGAATGCAGCTTTTCCCTGGGATGTTACTTGTCTACTGGACTGCTTATGGGTTTCCTGTAGATGGTTTTGCTTTTGCATTTTATCATTTCTGCATCAAGGGATGTATAATCCAGTGTTCTTACTTTACTATTCTTGTCAAATAAAGTATTTTCACTTATGCTGTCTGCCTGTGTTGCTCTAAATTACCCATCTGGCTGGGTGGGAGTCTGCTTGATGGGGTGGACTGGGCCATGTCTTAGCTTCCTTGCAGTAACTTCCATAGGTTGGGAGGGACCTCAAGGATGATCTGGTCCAACCTTTCTAGGCAAAGCATGACCTAGACGAGATGTCCCAGCACCCTGTCGAGATTAATCCAAGTGTCCAGTCTTTTAAGCTTTCTCTAGCTTTCCGCCCCTGTGGCTGTCCCACTGAGTGAATTTCTGCACTGCAGTGTTTTTACTGGCATTAGAGGAACAGGGATCCCCACATGACACCAAAAAACCATGGCATACGCCATTTACCAGTGGGTAGGGGGACAGCACACAAACCCCTACTGAAACCAGGCAGGGGATACAAGCCCTCACCCAGGCTGTTTGTCGGCTGCTTGGGGGAAACAGGCCACTGCTTGCTCCCCAGGTGCTTGTGGGTTTGGTCTGAGCATGGAAATGCAGAAGTCATTCCTGCGAAACTGATGCAAACATTTTCCTGTGTTACTTGGCACTTTCTCACGAGCAGTTTCCATGGAAGAGATCCTTCTGGCTGAAAGGCAGTGGCTAAGGCTAGGCGGCTAGAGGGAGTGCTCAGCAGAGGGAGATGAGCTTGGTCCTAGCTGGGGCACAGTGGGCAGGACATCCCCAAGCCTCTCAGTTGATGGAGGTATGATACTGACAGAGGGCTCTGGAGCAGGTTACTGGCCTCTGCTGTGTCATCCCCCCAGGACTGGGAATGGGGACACTGGGCACAGTGCAGGAGAATCACTGTGTGAAGTTGTTATCAAACCAGGATGCAACAGAGGGCTGGGATGGGGATGCAATGGAGCAAGGTTGCTAGGCCCTGTGGCATCTTTCATTGGCTTTTGGACCCTGAAAGGCATTGCATGGGAATTGTGGCCATTTTATTCTAATGTTTCAAGGTTTGATATCAATGGACCAGAAACATGGTCCAATGGGGAAGTTCCACTTTCTCCTGCTTCTGTCCCCAGACTATTCCATTCCTGCCCATTTCTGCTCAGGTGGGTGAGGATCGGGCAGGACTTGCAGAGCTCAGTGGCTGGAGGAAACCCTCTGTGGAAACTGGTCCCTGCTGAAAGCAGCAGGTGGAAAGTGTCACCCTTCTCCCCACTGGTTACCAAGGCTTCCCTGGACCAGATCAGTACGTGCCTTGTAAATGATCCCTCCACTCCTTTGCTGTGAGACCATACTTACTCCAGCAGGACTTCCTTTCCTACCTCCGGCTCCAAGTGCCTGCCAACAGCGAGGATGGAGCAGAGGTCTCTGACATTTATCTCACTTGTTTAACCTGCCACACCTTCCAGTTCTCTGGCCCATGGGGAAGGAAAATCCCAGTAAAAATGAAGCTGTTGTTAGAAGGAAGAAAAGGGCTAAGCTGGAGTTTGCTGACTCCTTTCACCCCCTTGGAGCGAGCCTGAAGTGGGTGTGCTTGCCCTTTGCTCTTGCTCTGTGTCTTAGCACAGCAGTGGTGACACTGGATCTGTTCTTATTTGCCTATGTCCCATTTACAGGATGTCTGTGCACACAAGTATGAGACCTGTTTTCTGTCTGTTCTCCCCACTCCCGGAGCCTGTTTTTCTTTCCCATCTCCTGCTCTCAATATTACTACCAGCAAAGCAGATGAGCGCAGAGACAAGACCTCTGCAGCGTCAGAGGTGGCTGACTCCTCAAAGGCTGCACTAGATCTTGCAGTAGTGGGGAAGACAAGGAGCTGGGGCTCAGTCCAAAGCCTGGACCTGTGACTCTTTCCGGTTACCTTCCTGCCCTTCACATGCTCGAAAATGATCTCCAAGAGGTCTTGATTCATGGTTTTTACAACGACAGAGCTTACAGGCTGATGCTTCCCACATCAAGCAAGGTCTGCTACGTTTTTAGCTGTCTATGGGCTTTCCCCTTTCTTACATGCATCCTTTTTTGCATTTTAGTGCAAGAAGCTCCCTTTTTAGTCAAGCAGGACTTCCACTGGAATTCCTGTCTTCCTGCAGAAGGGAAGGGTTGTCAGATTCAGAATGGGCACTGTGAGAAACCCCCTCCTCAGGAAGATGGTGCAGCCCCAGGACAGCATCCTAGTGTGGCAGACATCTCCATCCTTGGGAGGTTTCAAGGGTTAGTCAGCATTTCCCAAGATGTGTGGCCAATACAGTGACAAACTGACCCCTGGGAGCACCAAGGTGGAGCCAGTGGAAAAGCAGGAGACTGCAGCCCCTCTGCAAAAGGACACTGCAGGAGACAGGGACAAGGGTGATGCCAGCAAGCCTGAAGAAGCCTGCAGGGCACTGCCAGCGGAAAAGCATGGAGCCAGATGGTTGCCTCTGCTTTCCAAACCCACTTTACACTGTCTTTCCAAAGCCAAACCTCTGTGGTATTTACCACTGTGAACATCCTCCCAGTTGCAAGAGAGAAAAGGAAGAGCCGGGAAGCTTTCCGTGCTTGAGCCTAACTCATCCAGAGGTGGCAAAGGGACCCTGAGCCCATGCCTGTTGCCCGTTTCTTCCAGGCACCTGAAGATGTGCAATAATAAAAGCTCACATTCTGGGGGGGGGGGGGGGGGGGTTTACACCGTCCTGAGAGGGAGAGAAAGAGCTTGGTCAAGAAATGCAGAACGTTGGCAGACTCCCATGTGAAACACAGACAGGCTGAAGTCATGCCCCCAGCAGCAACCCCACCTATCAATGACCCAGTTTTCTTTGCCCAAACCACCAAAAACCTCATCTGAAAGGAAAAATGGGAAAAAACGTTGTCATCACCATATCTCTTTCCCATGGGATGTAGGGACTGCTCTGAGGACTGAGGACTGACGGGGTCTCAGAGGGAAGGGCAGGGCTGAGGAAGGGGGTCACAGCATCACTCTAGGGCAGGATGTGCTCCAGCATATCCTGGGAGGAAATGTCTTTACAGCATAACAATTATAGTCCCCATATCGAGAAATACTTTCAGAGGTACTTGAGCCCAACAAACAGCATGATGTGCCAGGGAAGAGACTAGCACTGGGGAATATCAGCTTCGAAGGGAAAAGAGGTTATATTTCTGCTGGTGGTCCAGCTCCTTTGCCTTCCTGACTGCAACGCAACCAGGGCAGATGTGTTCTTACAGAGGAGGCAGCGAAGGCACTGGGTTCTGCATGCCGTTCATCCATTCACTCACTAAGCATCAGTGCCTGGGGACATGCTTGAGACAAGGTAGTGCCGAGGCTGTGTGAGATCATCAGTGGCAGAGGTGAGACGGATGAAGCATGGAGGTGAAACAAGTCCACAGATGCAGTTGCTCTCTCAGATTGCCTGTTTTGACAGTTTCAGGTATAAAACACTGACTGGTGCCTGTGTCTGTACAGCTTGCTTTTCCTCCAGCTCCTGAATGTCTGCACCACATGTTTTCTAGGTCTGAGCAGTCTTCCAAAGCTTGGTCTGAGCAGAAGTCCTACTACAGAGCACAGAGCTGAGGGGATGGGTTAGGTGTCCCTGGACTGACTGAGGGATTGAGCGAGACCCCTCCAGAGATCCCTTCCTGCCTAAATCACTCTAATCCACTATCACTCCTTTACAAATCACAGTTGCTGTGATTTGGTTACCTCTACATCCCACAAACATTGTGGTACCTCTCACCAGGAATTCTGTAGACACAAGGACCCTGCGTGCCTCATGGATGTGGTGAAGATCATCCAGACACCATGTGGAGCATGAGTGGAAATAGGGTTTCCGTGGGGAGGTCCACCTGGCAGCCTTAAAGAGCTGTGATCTTGCTGAAGTTAGAATTTCTGGTGGACAAGAAGCCAGGTGATTGCAGAGGTGATGTAAAATCGTCGAGGGTACAAACCCTTAACACGTAAAGGGCAGCTGAACATCAGAGTTGGTGGTGGCACCTGCAAACTGCAGTTGTACCCAGCTGAGGCAGCACTCTGCCTGCGAGTTTGCCCTCTGCGAAATCAGCTGCTTTGAAAATCAGTGTGTCTAAAACACTGCAACTGGCCTGCTTTTGAAGCACTGTGCTAAGGACTGCCCTGTTCCACAGGTGCTAGGATGGTAATGCAGCTCAGAACTGTGATCTCCAATCACAGTTGAGTTGATACATCATAAAGCTTCATTGAAGACTGGAGCATTAGACAGGAGAAATGTGCACAGAACCCCATGCTCAGATACACTCATAGCACCACGCACCCGCCTGGGTGACACTGGTGACTCAAAAGGGGTTTGTCAGGGTTTGCAGCCAGGCATAGTGAGAATCTCCACCCTTGCAAATGTTCAAATGCAGCCTGGGCATGGTCCTGGCTCTAGGCAGCCATGCTTAGGCAGAGGGGATGGAGAGGATAGTGTGCAAAGGTCCCTTCCAGCCTCATCTGCTCTGTGGCTGTATGTGGTCCCCAGGAGAGCAGGACTGCACAGAGCAGGGGCACTCAACAGCCCCACCCTGGTCCTGCAGCAGTGACTGTGGGGACAGGAACCCACAGGCACACACCACCTTCAGCATCCCATCACTCCTTCAAGGGGTCTGAGTTCCTAGACCGCTCTCATCCCCCATCCTCTTCCTGCACTGCACTGATGGCTGTTGCTTTCCCAGGGAGTAGCAGGTGCCTTATCCTGTTGCTCAGATGTTTCTCAGGGCTCAGCTGCTGCTGCTGCTGCTTTAATTTGGTACACTTAACACAGGCTTTTCCCAGCTTTTGAGCCTGCACAACTGATCCACCACCAGAGAGCTGTTTATAGTCCTGATGCCTCTGTGTGTGACCTGTTCCAAAACTCTCAAGACCAATACAGCTATCGCACTTACATCGCACATTAATAACAAGAGACATCTGGTACCTTGGGCCAGTTCACACACCAGACTCGTGACAAGCAACAGAGAGGACAGGTCAGGACGGGGGTTTAGGGACTGTTTAAGGGTAAGGACTGAGGCTGCTGCCAGCAGTGGCAGTGTCCTTTTGGGGTAAGCCCTGGCCTACAGCAGCAGTAGA